CTGCAGTAATTATCGTAGGGGTCGGATTGGCTGCAGTGTCTGTCACCTGAGTTGGAGTGGCTGCAGTGCCTGGTGGGGGGGTCAGAGTGGTTGCAGTGCCGGTTGTTTTGCTCGCAGATGCAGAGACGTCTTCCTTTTGAGGGTACTGCAGAGTGGTGAGCAGGTTCGGTAGGCGTGGGCCAGGCCCCAGCATGTTGCAATGATCTGCGTCTCTCTTGAGGTGTCAGGATGACAGCACACCTTTTCTAAATATTTTACTAATTTCTCAGGATCCCGCACTTGTTCAGGGGTGAAATTCCAAAACATTGGAGGTCCCCACTGTCCTAGGTACTTGCCCATGCTACCCCACACTCCCAGCCACTCATAACTCTGCAACCCTGGGGTAGACCTCTGGGTGGTATTCAGAAACAGTTGCTTAACCCGAAACAGAACCTGAACCACATTCAGGAACACTACAGCTTCCAGAAACAAGACAACAACGTTAATATGAGCATTCCATGGATATTCAGAGTTCTCAGCATTCTCAAGTATACTTGCAAGTAGCTTGGAGAAGATGGAAAAAGGTATCTCCCCCTTGGGTGGGCTTTCTGAGGAGAAAAGGTGGAGGGTGTAGTTACTAACCCATTCCAGTAGGTGCCCCACAACTCCCATGACAGAAGATTTTATCATGCCATAAATTAGAGTTACATAATACAGCAAGGCAAAAATCTTAATCCAATTCCCACGGGTAATAAGCAGCAGCATGGGGACTACATATAGTAAGTAATGGGATGCATAACACAACTGCAGCAACAAAACCCATGATTTTAGGAGCCAAGCAAATGACATTGTAACAGGATGTGCAGTCGGCATTATAACAAACTTGATAGTACTCACAGATCAAATCTGTTGTTATCTCAACCCTTTGTGCCCCACCTTGGGCGCCAAAAAGGACTGTTGTGGTTTGAGCCTACTCAGCAGCTAAACGCCACACAGCCGCTCACCCACCCTCCCCCCACTTGGGAATGGGGAGGGAATCGGAGGGGCAAAGGGAGACTCACGGGTTGAGATAAAAACAGTTCAATAACAGTAACAGAATAATACACTGACAGCAGTATCAGCAGGTAATGTAAAATACAGCTGCTCACCACCCGCCAACCAACACCCACCTGCTCCCAGCCAGCAATCCCAAACACAAAGCCACCACAGCCACACTCCCAGAAGTGGCAACACCCCACACCCGCTCCTGCCTTTATATGGTGAGCACAATGTCACATGACATGGACTATCAGCCAATCGGGGCCCAGCCCTCCAGCTGTGCTCCCCCCGCCCCCGCACACAGGTGAGGGCACTGGGCCCTGGGGAGCCCCTGGGGTCTCTGTGCTGCAGCACTCCTCCAGCTACTGAAACCAACAGGAACTCTAGTCCAGCCCCAACCAGGACAATCAGATAGAGCTCACGTTAATAACAACTAAAAATATTAATCCCTATTTCTATATGGGGAGGGTGTTCAGGAACCAGAACATGACTGTTTGGATTTTATTAATTATCAAACAACAACAAGAGAACAAGTGTTAGATGAACCTTTGCCCTATAGGGAAAAACTATTTATTGATGGGTCCTCTCAATGCCTAGAAGGGAAAAGAATATCGGGTTATGCAGTTATCTATGGGCAGAAAATGGGAGTGTTAGAAAAAGGGAAAATAGCTGCTGGGTGGTCAGCGCAGGTCTGTGAACTCTATGCCCTGAAACAGGCGTGGACATATTTGAAACATAAGGAAGGGACAGTGTACACAGACTCAAAGTATGCGTTTGGAGTAGTCCACAAATTTGGGGAAGTGTGGGCTTGTGAATATAAAAGGGAAGGAGCTAGTACACGAGCAGGTGGTTAGAGAAGTTTTAAAAGTCCTGAATCTCCCCTCAGAAATTGCAATTGTGCGTGTGAGAGGGCATCAGAGGGGAGCATCGATGGAAATAAGGGGGAATAACTTAGCAGATCAAGCAGACAGAGAAACAGCTACAGAGTCATCAGCAGTAGTAACGCCAGGGGATTATGAGAATTAAGTCGGGAATTTCACAGAACAAGAGGAGAAGGATATACTTAAAATAGGGGGTGAAAAATATCCATAAGGAAAATGGACTTTACCAGTCCATGGAAGGCAGATTTTAAACAAAACATTATCACAAGAACTTCTGTCATTAATGCATCAGTAAACACACTGGGGAATGCAAGCGCTTTGTGATTTTTTCTTAGAGAATATGGGTGTATAGGAATAAACACGGCAGCTAAACAACTAGCTGCTGATTTGTCAAAAAGTGAACAAAAAGGTAATGAGAGGAAAGGTGGCTGGGAGATGGGAGCTAGCCATACGGCCTTTTCAAAGCCTCCAGGTAGACTTCACAGAGCTACCTCAAATACAAAGGTGGAAGTACCTGTTGGTATTAGTGGCTCACTTACCTCATTGGGTGGAAGCATTCCCCACACCAAGGGCAATGGCAAGCGTGGGATCCAAGGTGTTATTGGAAAACATTATCCCCAGCTATGGATTAATGGAAAGAATAGACTCAGACAGAGGAACACATTTCACTTCAAAAATCTTACAACAACTATCTGAAGCTTTAGGGATCGAATGGGCGTGGCACACCCTGTGGCACCCTCAAAGTTCTGGAAGAGGAGAAAGAATGAATCAAATTTCAAAACAAACCTCGACTAAGTTAATGATCGAGACTCGGACGCCTTGGATTAAATGCCTGCCGTTGGCCTTATTAAGGATCCGTACTCAGCCACGAACAGACCTGGGAATTTCTCCCTATGAAATGATGTTTGGATTACCATCTATGAGTAATAACAGGGATATTGTCAGCACAGAAGTAGAAAATCAGTATGTAAGTGTGGAACGATCAATCCTTAACTCCCGAGTGGGAAGGTCCATTTCAGGTGCTGCTGACCACCGAGACAGCGATCCGAACAAAAGAAAAGGGGTGGACTCCTGCCTCCCGAGGAAAAGGACCGGTGGAAAAGCCTCGGGAGTGGACTGTGGTACCATCAAGTGATAACTACGAGTCTACCTCAAAAGGACTAAATAAATTTGTCGGGAGGGGACTGGGTTCGGGCGTGACACTGAAAATTTACTTACTCGCTGTATGGGGAACCACAAAAAGATATCAGGGAAAAAGCTGTTTGGTAATAGACTATGAGCGTTTTGGGTTAGATCGGGCATTGCTAGAAAATCAACCTATTAGGGTAATACCATGTCTCGAGTGCATACACGAATTTCATGAAGCGTGGGTTTTGTGTGAGTGTGAAACGTGTAACCACAGGTGGTATTGTATATGGAGAAAATTGTGTTATAACTGTAACAGGGACTGTGAGTATAGGGAAGGGGCACGAACTGTAACCTTGATTTGTGGGAAAAGGAGGTTAGTCCCCGAAATTTGGGATGTCCCTGAGAGTCGGTGGAAGGACACTGACAGAAAGTGCCGAAAAACATTTGCTTAGAAACAAAGGAAGTGGCTACAAAGGAGCTGCACTTGAATTGACTGACTGTTAAAACACGGATTTGTTACATTTGAAAACAGTAGAGGGCAAGACCGGGTTAACCTCTGTGCTCGTCACCAAGAAGACCTTTATCTCAGCTGTGGGCTGCATGCCCATGGGCATGAGAGGTGGGACTCTATGTTATACTGGACCTCCGCTCATCATCCTGATCTAGTTCGCTCTAATAGCGGCAAATCCGTGCAACAAGTGATTTATTGTTATGTCCAACATCAGAGTGTGGGAAAAGGTTGTATTTTACGTCCTTTGTGCTGTCACAGGCTGCTTGTTTTTACCATGTTTAATACCCTGCTTTATATGGCTAGTATCTCATGTTATTGAGGGGATGCAAATAGCAGCTATGCCGGTAAACCCTGAAATGGCTGCATCAGCCGGTGCCCACAAAGATAGGATATTCAGAAAAGAATGAGACAAGTGTTAGTAAGCTCAGGCAAAATATGGTATTAAAAAGAAAAGGGGTGGTTTGGGAGAAGTAACAGAAGAATTTTGCTTTCGCTAAAAGTGATTAAACAATTCCTTTTATTGAGTTACTGTTATTAAAGCAGTATTGTTAAAATTATAACAGTTAAGCAAGCCTTTTGTGATCACAAGTTAGGCATATGGTTGGGCATTGTGGGGAGTTGGGCAAGGAGGAGGATGGGGGGGTGGGGTCTGTGGTTAGGTGTCATGTAAAGGGGAATCTGGATGGGGGGGCTGGGGAGGAATGGCAGCCAGCAGAAAAGGGTTAAGCAAAGAACTCCTGATGGAGAGGAACCTGGACTTCACCCCCCCACACACACACACACACTAACCACCCGAGAAGGCAGTGGAAAAGTACTGAGAGAGACAGCCTCGGAGAAACCAAGAAAAAGGAGCTGGGCAGGTGTCAAGAGGAGAAAACCCGCCGTTTTCGCTCAACCAGTGAAATCTCCTGGAGGCTCTACAGAAAGAAGCCCCAGCTGGGGCAGACTGCGCCACTGCGCCCAGCACTGTGTTCTTTGCTCCACTGACTTTGTCCCCAATAAAACTTTTTTTTTATTTTTTTTTTTAATATACATGAGCTTGTTTCTGACATGGCTGAAGTAAAATGCTTTATGTTACATTCTTCACAGTAGTTCCCGTGCAATTCTGCCACTGCTGCCACAACGCGTGTGGTGGCACGCCCCAGCCAGGGGAAGGCTCTTCCCCCGGACAAGGCTCTCTCTGACCTGCCGGCGGGATTTTTAGCATTAGAAGGAGGCGAGTTCCGCGAAGGAGCCGCGGAGCTTGAGTTTGCTGGCCAAGTTGGCAACGTAGCCCCTCCGAGGTGTGCAGGGTGCCCGTGCTCCAAGCAGGCCATCTCCTCGCTCTGCCGGTGACGGATGCCTTTGCCTTTCCCAGACCCAGAGAACGTCTTTCTCGCCCCCGGCGGAATCTTTCTCCGGGGGTCTCCAAGCTGACCCTTCCCCCCCGGGGCAGGGCCATGAGGTGAGCGGCCCCCGCCTGCCAGGGCCCCGCCGCGGGGGCAGCAATGGGCTGGCACAGGCGCCCCCCGCCCTCCCGAGGGGCCGGGGGGGGCCGGGGCGGGCCGGGGGCGGTGCTCGGGGCAGGGGCGGTGCCCCAGGGGCCCGGTGACGCGCGGAGGCCGGGCTCTGACGTCACAGAGCCCTGCCGGGCCCCGCCCGGCGCTGGAGGGCTGTGCCGCGGGCACCGCTTCAGCAGTGCCGGCAGCGGCAGCGGCGCGGGGCAGGCGCAGGGGGCCATGGCCCCCACCCGCCTCCTCCTCCTCGTCCTGGTGGCCCTGCAAGCCCGGCGTGTCAGCGGTGCGCGGTGGCGAGCGCGGGGATTAGGCGTGCGGGCAGGTGAGGGCCAGCACCCAGCCCTGGCAGCGCGGCCCGGCACCCACTGCCCCTCGGGGTGACAGCGGGGCCGGGCCGGGCCGGGGGAGCCGTGCCCAGCTCCACGGGCAGTGGGAGGCAGATGTCCTGCGGGGAGGCGCAGGGGGCTGCGGCCGCTGTGGGGGCGTTTTCCAGGGGAACGAACGGTGGGGCCGGGGGCGGCGGGGAGCAACCGTCCCTCGAGCCAGCCCTGTGCCGCCCTGCCCCGGGGCAGCCTTCCCCCGGGCTGTGTGCCAGGGCCGGAGCAGCACTGCAGGAGCCAGGCAAGAGCCCGCGGGAGCACTTCTTCCCCGGGCTGCTCGCTGCCAGATGGGCCCAGGTTGGTGGCTCTGCCGCTCCCCGGCGGCATCCCGGCTTTCAGCCTTGGGGCCGGCCGGCCTTGAGCGAGATCTGGCCGCTCAGGAAAGAAAAGAGGAGCGTTCCTGCCCCAGCCCTGCAGTGCTCCCTCTCCTTGGGCGAACCCGGGTCCCCGTGGGACACACGTCCCCAGCCCACAGCCCGGGGAGCAGATGGCGACCGGACAGGGCAGCGCTGCTGCAGCAGCCTCTGCCTGGCCAGGGCTCTCTTCTCCACGAGACGTGTGAATGAGTGATCGCTGTTTTCCTCCGCTGCTTTCACGTGGGCTGCTTTTGTGCACAGAAGAGACCTCCCCGTGAGAAAAATCCCCCAGGGGCCCTACGTAGCTTTGTCCATCCGCTGGGCCTTGAGGGGTGTTGTTGCACGTGGCCTGGAAAGAACAGTCTGTTGAAAGCCTCCAGGTGCAGCAAACAGGTCACCCAGGCCCCTCGGCAGCTTCGGCAATAAACCTCCACCCACAGCTGGCTCCCCTGTCGTTACCTGAGCCCCTTCCAGTCAGTGCAGGTCACCCAGAAAGAAGCAGATCCCCACATCTAATGGGAACATGCTTGATTACAGCTGTGCCCGTAGCCAGTGGCCACCCGAATTCTCCGCCGGATCTTCTCTGGGAGCCTCAGGGCGATCCCACAGGTACGTCACTGGAATGAGGGAGCAGCTAGGTTTTCATTTTCTGTGCCCAGGACAACACTGAACTGAACAGTTTCTTGGCCGACGCTCCGCCGTGCGGAAGAGCAGGGGGCGAATGTGTTGGGCTCGCTGATGTGCCCCAGGGCACTCTGCCTTGGGAAGCTGTCTGGGCCAGCCTCTCCAACCCTGCGCTGCTTCCAGCGCCTGCTGCAAAGCCAGCGGGCTTGCTGGGCTGAGTTTCTTGGAGCTGGTGTGAGCGGCAGGGAGTCCTTTCTCCGGAGCGATACCTCCGTGCACGCTTTCCTTCTGGATCAGCGTGGCCCAGGCCCCCAGTACCTGTCTGCACAGTGCTCCTGAGGGGAGGGGGGGGACGAGTGCCATGGAGCAATCCCCTGTTTGAACTGCCTTCACGCCCCTGTATTGTTTTGTATAGTGAAATACAGTTCATGGGAGCCTCTCGGTTCTCTTTGTTTACAGACGTGGCTGGAGGCGATGGCTACCCAGCTTCCCAGCCGGCTTCCAGGGCTGACGCTCAGGGAGATCGCGTGGGTACGTCCCGGCTTCTTGCTTCCCTTGGGAGCTGCCAGCTCAAAGGCCAAATGTGGGCGAGGCATCTCTTGCGGGTGTGAGAATGCAGACGACCTGCACTGTGTGTGCCAGGTCGTTACGTGATGCCCTTCTATGTTCTGCTATTCAGCTGTGTCAGTGTATTGTATCCCAGCGCAGTGACGGAAACTTCTCGTGGGTGTTTGGTTGCAGATGTGGGTGCAGGGAGGGCTCTTCCCGCTTCTCGGCTGGATCCTGCGCTGGAGCTCACCTGGCATCGCAGGGGTGAGTGGTCAGTCTCGACTGACCACAGACTAAGCACTCATTCCCAGTAGTCTATTTGCCAGAAATTTAACTTTGTGATTTCCGTTCAGGTCCTCCGAGAGCCAAGTACAGAGCGGAAATGGAAAAATCTTCCCCGCGGTCATCAGAAGTCCTAGAGGGAGTCCTGAAGGAACTGGACAAAGCAGCACATGGTGGGTAGAGATGATTGCTCTTCACCAGAAGCCGTGGGAAGCGGAGGTCTTGGGGGCGTGGATGGACAAGCCGTAGCCTGCACAGCAGGAGGAGGGGGTCGCTCAGAGCCTCACTGCGGCCACACTCAGTTTCACGCCTTGCAGGCGCTGGCGAGCTGCAGAGATGCCCGACTCTCTGCTGCCAGTCGCGGTTCAAACCGAGTGCCAGGACCAGCTGCTGCCCCGGTTAGAGCCTTACCGGGGTCAGAGCTGTTCTGGGCAGACCTTGGTACCCAGCTGGCAGGAACTGGTGCTCCTCACGCCTGGAATGTGTGACAGACTTGCCAAGGAGCTGGTTCCTGACAAGTCATGAGAGGGCCAGCACCCCGCCGGTCGCCCACCCGAGGGGAGAGTGCCCTTGGGCTGCGGAGAGGATGCGCAGGCAGCTTGGGGTAGCTGAGAGCAGCAGGACACTGCCAGGGCTGCAGGCGTGCCCTGGCCAGGGTCGGAGAAGCCCCACCTTCACAACCCGGTCCAGCCTCGTCGTTCTTGATGCCTGAGGATGGTCGGTGACACCTCAGGTGCCAGGGAAAGGTACAAGCTGGACACCCAGCTTGAGGCCAGACGCCAAACTTGAAGGCAGCTCAAATGAAGGGCTGTGAATTCAGTCTCGGTTGGTTTAGCTGCGCCTGCGTCTAGTCGTGCTTTGGATCGGTCGGTTGTGGTTGTCCTCTTGTTTCGGGGCACTGCGGGCTCGTCAGTGCCACTTGTGAAAATGCCCAGAGTATGGTTGCAAGAGCTGGCGCTTCAGTCCACCATGCGTGTCTGTTACCCTGACCGTGGGATGGAGTTGACACGATGGGAAGTGCTGCTCAGAAGGGCTCTTTCCCCAGCTGAACTGGCTACAGCATCTTCCTGTCCCCTCTGACAGATTCTGTCATTTACCATCATCTTGCCGTTTGCCAAAAATGCACTAAGTGGAATGCGAACAAGCTCACGTGCAACCTCCTAGTCTCCCAGCAGGTCAGGATTTTCTGTCTGCTGGTTAAAGTGGAAAGGGTCTAGTGCTTAAATTGTCCTCCATGAATGACATGTCATTGGGACTAGGCACTAGGTACACCCCCAAATGTCCCGGCTTTGTTTCTAAGCGTCATGAAGGGATGTTGAGAAGTATGGCCTCCTGGAGATACTGTGTTCCTGATGAGGAACGGTTACTTCTAATTCAATTGTCCTTCTTTCTTTCTAAAGAGACTGGACCAAGAGACTGTGGAGAACGAGGCGTTTCAGGGAGGACGCAGTCAGGCAGTGAGAGTGTCTGATGCAAAAACGGGGGCAATTCAGTCAACAGGCCTCCCAGGTAATTGCCGTCCTTTGATCCTCCAGCACCACGCATCAAAATCACTCCGTGTCTTCAGGCTCTTCCCCCAGTGCCCTCTACCGCGCGTCCTGTCGGCAGCACAACCCAAAAGAGTTGGTGGTACAGAGCGAGTGCTTCAAAAGCAGCAGCCAGGACCGGCTCTCTGAGGATGCCGGTCACCTCTGGGCTGTGGAGGCGCTTGCCGTCAGCGCGCCGGGGAGATGCTCCCTCGTAACCCTCCGTGGATGCAGAGAGATGCTCACCTCCCACCACACCCCGTTGACAGGACTTTCAGAACTTAGTCATTTGGGGAACAAGACCATCTGAGCCACGCTCAGCAGATGATGGGAAATGCGACTCTTAATGGAACGTACCCCCCTGCAATAGCTGCAGGCCAGAGCTTGCCCTGGGTCCCTAGAGGCCCCAGGCACGGCAGCGGGGGATCCCTCCTGTGACCTGAGGTCCAAAGGGATGCACTGACATGTCGGGCACAGGCTTTGGGGAAACCTCCACCATCCTCCTGCAACCTCTGCGCCTGAGCCATTTCCCTTTCTCTGAGGTTTTGCCTTTCTCTGAGGCTTTCCCTTTCTCTGGTTTCTATGCAGTTCTGTCCAAGCCCGGGAACGCCCACCGCGCCAGGATATATGGATTTTTTCGAAGCAGTCCAGGTACTGAGCCATCTGGCAGGGGGCCATAAGTGGGAGACGCGTCCCCAGTTCTCTGAGGCTTTCCCTTTCTCTGGTTTCTATGCAGTTCTGTCCAAGCCCGGGAACGCCCACCGCGCAGGGACATATGAAGTTTTTCGAAGCAGTCCAGGTACTGAGCCGTCTGGCAGGGGGCCATAAGTGGGAGACGCGTCCCCAAAAGCGGCGGTGTGCAAGCAGGGCCCATGCTGGAGGGAAGGCGAAGAGAGAGGGCGAGGTTCAGGTGTCTCCCGAGAGGGCCTGACTCTGTCCCCTCAGGGTGTGGGTGCGGAGCTGGGGAGGGAGAGCTGGGGGTGGCACTCCCTGAGGCAGGGATGGCTTTTGTCCATCTCACTCAAAGGGTCGATCGGTCCAACGGGAGCTGTGCTCCCCGACGTGCTCTCCATTTGGCCTCATGAGTTCAGTTCAGTGGGACAAGTTGTCCCAGAGGGCCAGGGAGAGCCTCCATGCAGCAGCACTAGCAGCGAGCCTCGGAGAGTGGAGGTGGGCGAGCGCAGCAGAAATTGTGCACAAATGCGGAAGGTGACCGAGAAGGGGGAGCAGACCGGGGACACTGCGAAAACTGGGTTACGGCCACCCCAGAGTGCAAGCAAAGCTGAGAGCAGAAAGAGAGGCTCCAGAGCGCGTTGATTTGCAACGGCCTTGGGAGTTTCCTTGGCTTCTACCGAAACCAAGGAAACGGTGCAGCCCCAGGACGTTCACCGGTTCAGGGAGGCCAAGCAAGTGCGAAGGAACGTTTCCTGGCAACGTCAGACCTCCTGTGAGATCACCAGTAGCGTGCGGGACACGCTAACGTAGAGCATTGTTCCTCCAGGTGTGGGTGGCAAGACAAATGCAAATGCTGCGGGTCATGGAAACTTCATGGAGTACTGCGTGGAGGGTGCCATGGCAGTCCTGGGCTCCATGCTGCTTGGGATGGTGTTTTGTTGTGTGTTCCACCTGTGGAGGAAGCGAAAACAGTGAGTGTTGCCAAACTTGTGTGTCAGATGGCTGCTATTAGCCACGAAGCGTCTGGAGGCCAGGTATTCTGGCGTGCCGAGATAGTTACCGGCCAAACGCTCCGACAGACAAGGCTGTCCCCTTGTCTGGGCAGGGACGGGCACGGGAGCCGAGTGCTGGTCTCTGGCAGGCACGCCGAGAAAGGAGAACAGGAGGCTCTCCTGGCCCTGCAGTGCCGTGCCCAGCTCTGGGCCCCTCGCTCTGCCGGGGTCAAGTGCCCTTGGCGGCACGTGCAGAGCAGGCAGGTCAGGCTGCTCAGGGCCGAGAGGAGATGAGCCGTGGGGAGGCGAGCAGAGCCCCAGCCGAGGGGTGCAGGGCACCCCGTTTTCTGCACAGAGCTCTCTGTGCCCACAGCTCCCACGTGCAGCCGGGTGCCCACGACCCATGGGGTGCCCACGCTGCCCCGCACCCTGGCACCCACCCGGCACCGCAGCCGCCGCGGGGCCTCAGCAGTCTCCTCTCTCCACAGGCGCCCCTCCGCAGCTTCAGGAGCCTAGCCCAACCCCAGCAGCCATCCCTCGCGCCCGGACAGCCGTCCGGACGGCCCACCCCGGCACCCCTGAGAGCTGGACCCGACACCAGCGGCCGTCACCTCTGCCTGGAGAACTGGCCGGCCTGCCACAGCGCTCCAGGGGACCGGCCCTCGCCAGCCCGGACAGATGCCTGGCCCGCCCACCTCCACCCCGGCCTCCACGTCCGTCAGACACAGCTGGCCAGCTGTTGTGGGACCAGCCCTAGCACCCTCCAGCCCCCGGAAGAATTGAAACCACCCCCCCGTCCCCCGAGCCCATTGCCCCAGCCCTCCTGACAGACTCCCGACCCACAGCGCCAGGGATCGACCGTTTATTTCAGAATAGTGGTAGTAGCAATAAATAGAGGTCAGTAGCACACTTGTCTCGGGTCGTAACGGCAGCAAGCTCAGGAACTCACGGGTTCTGGGTCGAACTTTGTATCGGGGCACGAGGGACAGCGAGGGAGGTCCCCGTGGAGTAGATCTCCATTTACCCTTTGTCCTGGGTTGAGTGAGTGGTGGAGTCTTTTGGTAGCAGGGGAGGGGGCTATCGGGGCGGCCCCCTGTGAGAAGCTTCTCGAAGCTCCCCCAGCTCCACGTCAGCTCCACTTCTGTTTGGGAAATTGAGCCAATCGGCTGCGCCTCTGCGATAACGTATTTAAGAAGGGACGTGGTGACGGGCAGTGGGACTTGTGAGGAGGAGTTGCTGCAGCTGCATGAACACCAAGGTCAGTGGAGGAACGGAGGAAGAAAGGAGGGGGGAGGTGTGCCAGAGCAGAGACCCCCCTGTATCCTGTGGGGAGACGGCAGGGCAGGCCCCCCCCTGCCACCCATGGAGATCTACGGTGGAGCAGACATTGATTTATGGCCTGTTGCTCCTGCTTGCCTGATCAAGGCTCTGTGCCCGAAGAAGGCCAGGGATCTCATGGGAAAAGGTAGCCCCACTGCTGTAATTCAGTGCTGGGAGGATTGCAGCATGCGGGGGAGTCCCACGCCGGAGCAGCTCGGGAAGGGCTGCAGCCGTGGGAGGGAATCCAGTCGGAGGAAGGTTAGTGACCCATGACGGAGTAGTGTGGGGAACGCTGCGGCCCATGGGAGGAACTCATGTCGGAGAAAGTTTGTGGAGGACTGTCTCCTGTGAGAGGGGGACCACAACTGGAGCAGGGAGGAACAAGTTTCGGACACTCCCCTCACCGAAGATGAAGGAAGTGGCAGCACTGACTGCACCCCCCATTCCCTGCCCCTGCGCCACTGGGGGAGGAGGTAGAGATATCGGGAGCAGAGCTGAGCCCGGGAAGAAGGGAGGGGTGGGGGGAAGGTGTTCTCAAGATGTGGCAATGCCTCTCACTGTCCTACTCTGTTATGTGTTGTTAGTGTCTGTAATAAATGTATGTTCTTTTTTTCTTCCCCTAACGAGTCTGCCTTTGCTCATGATCATAAAAGGGGGATTTTTTTCCCCATCCCAGTCCTATCTCGAACCCCAAGCCTGGCTCTCTGTCCCTTCTCATTGCCGGAGGGGAAGGGAGAGAGAGCTGCTGCATTGTGGTTGGCTGCCAACCAGGCCTAAACCACAACAATGGTATCGTATCAAGCGGATAGAGCGAACATATTGGGCTCTTCCAAAAGGGTCGTGATCTTCACTCATAAGTCAAAGGACCGATTGAAACAAAAAAAAAAAGGCCCTAGACAATAGGCCTCAAACCAAAGTCATTGAGAATTGTAACAAGGTAAAGTTTGAACTTACTTAATTTCAAGAGAGTTGGATTGCTTTCATTCTTTCCATATCACATTTTACCAATTGTGTTTTGAGATGATCAATTTCTTCTTTGTACAACTCAGCACCTTTATCTAATTTTGCCTGAAAATAAAAGATTTAGTGTGAAGAAAGGCTTGTTACTTAGCAGTGAATCTAAAGGTTGCTTACTTTGTATCTTTACTAATACCTGCTAGATTTTGCAGGTACAGGACTGGGAGCAGGAAGTTATTCTGGAGTAAGAACACCCATGTTATCAACTAGCGCCTACAGTATTAGTTGGTATCCTAATTCTGGTGTATTACATGCAATCATATTTTAGCAACTTTTGCTGACTTGTTTGCATATATAAGTCTGGGCATTTTGAACCAGTATGGTAATATATTACATAGAAAAAACAGCTCATGCTTCAGTTTCCAAGTTCCAGATTTTCTTACAAGGTTTCAGAAATGCATCATGTACAAATGAAAAATTTAGCTTCTAATATAACAATGGGTTCTAAATTTTGTCTCTGAAGGCTGCATTGGTAGAATGTGAAACCACAGGCCAAACAGGCAAGTAGAGTGTTTTAATTAAGAATGCCATACAGAACAATAAAGAGATGCTAGAGAGCTATGTTTCATCTACAACAGTTCTCAAGCATGCTCACTCGCTCCCTCTGAGATGAGAGGAGAATGAGAAGAGTGTTTTGCTCATACCTGAAGACTCTGATTCTCTGTTCAGGTGGTTTTGAGGCACTTCTGTCTCATTCACTCTGGCTTGCAGTTGGGTGAGCTCACTTGTTGCTGGTTTTATTCTTATCTGTGCTTCTAATTTGTTTATCCTGTCATCTTTGACATTTTTTCCCCACTTCATTTATGACACTTTCCAACTTCTGAATTTTTATTTCCATAGCCTATTCAAAACCACTGCATCTCCTAGCATATTGCAAGATTAAAAAAGACAACCCAAAACCCCACACCACATGTGTCTAACAGAGTAAAAAGAAAACCCTAACTCCCCACCTCAGCCCCCCCCACTAACGTTTTCTTAAATTACAAAGGTGGATTAAGGTAACCATTTGTTTTCTGAAGACTTAGCTGATGAGCAGTAACTAACTGCTGACATTTAGGAGAACAGAAAACCCACCGAATGCCAAGAGCTTACACACAGCTTTGTAGAAGACTTAAAAGCTTCTCCATGTCCCCTGCCAAACTCATTTTCAGCATCTTCCTATAAACTATAAATTCCTAAAAAGATTAGGCACTTTTTACGCATGTTCCCTTCTCAGAAATTTGCTATGTTTGCAGTAGCAAGACTGAGTCATTTGTAGAAAACTGAATTCTCACAACAGCCTACCTTAAAAAGGTGATGCAGGATTTTTAACTCAGGTTTGAGAATATTACCTGATATTTCCTTCTTGTTTCATACAAGACCTAAAAAACTTACTTTCAACATAGGAAATACAACAAAAATAAAACATACTCTAGAATTACCTTCATGGTTTAGAAATCAGCTTTATGTATAACCACACACATAGGTTTGTCGGTTAAAAATCAAAGATAATACAGTGCTTTACATCTAAGAACAAGCTGTGGAATGACAAATTCTACCTGACTTCACTCAGTTTTACTCAGGAAAATTCAGAATTATTAAGTACTACAAAAACATACATGAAGATTTGCAAGACTTCCTTAAAATGCAGTTCTTAGGTGACTTCTGACTCAAGATTATCTCCCTTCTAAATCAGTTGAATCTGTTTAAAAAATAAGCTTGTAGGGAAGATTCTTTTCCTTCAACACTGAAGGAGGCTTTCTAGTAATGACATACTCATGTTGTTAGTGTTTCAACACTTGGTCATTTCACTAGAAAGATCGCTTTTTTACAACACGTGTGAAACAACTAAAGGATTTTAATTATACCACCTGAGCACACTTGATCCTTTTAATAAGTGTAAATACGAAGTAGCTCAAGAAACTGGTTAAAGTGATAAGTATAAAGCTGAAAGCAAGCGGCAAGGTCCCGTACCTACTATCACATGTTCCGCCAGCATGCTGATTTGTCTCTACAGTAATTTCCTGTGCACGTGAGCCAGCTCTTCATACCGCCTCTGCTAATTATTCTTAAGAACCACATCACCCTCCATCACCTCCTAATACCTCTCAGTGAAGAAATAAATGGGCGGATTGATCTGTTGGTTTTTGTCGGTTTATTTTTCATTCTGTGTTTATTGGGTGTTATTCTGCAGGAACTAACACAAACTGCATCCTCAGAATTTGTTACCTCTAAATTCTGTTATACCTACAATCACTAAAAACAAACAATTATAGGCACTATTTTTTTTTCCCACTACATTTTCCTTAAAGATCACTTTGTTAGCACAGCAAAGAGAAGAGCTGAAGTATCTTTAAACTGTCCTCTCTTTGCTAAGACCTGAAGGGAGCATTCAGGTGGGGTTTTTCTTGTTTGTTTGTCTGGGCTTTTCATGGGTTGTTTTGTTTTCTTTTGGTTTTTAAACTACAAAATTCACATGATGGGGGATGGTGGGAAGGCACAAGGGGAGACTGTAAGTTAAACTTAGTATTTAGAAACTGCATTACAGAATTAGCAATTACAACATCAGAACATATTGTTTATCTTGTTTATGGTTCTGCATTGATCAATGTCTACTCACCTATCTTCAAACTACTTTTCACGGAAAACAGTTTTAAATGACTAATA